GCAGTTCAGTATCAGCAGCAGCCGCCTGGTCAGCACTCTTCTTGCTGGACTCGGCCTTCGCTGCATCATCTTTTGATGCCTTTCCCCCAAGTGGCACAAGCGCCACAACAGGCTCTTCCTCCTCCAACGCAACGTCCATCGCCTCTTCTTCAGCAGCCGCCAGGATCTGTTGATTATATATTTCCGAACACTGGCGGTACGTTCTTTCCCATGAGGCAAAGTCGGCACTGGGGAACAGTCGTTCCCAGGTCATGCGTTGGATTTGGGCGGAGTCTTCCACCATCTCCCGGACGAGCTCTTGTTTTTCTTGCTCGGCCTTGTCCGAGAGCTCTTGGGTAAGACTCTTCTCCTGGTTCACCAGGCGTTCTTTTACGTTAGCCAAAGATTTCTCCATGGCTTCGTAAGAGTGCATTTTCTGGCGAAGGGGTTTCAGCTCGGCTTTAAATTTGGTGACGGTCCCCTCCAGCTCGTCAACCTTCTTTTGGGCCGCCTCTAGCTGAGCCCGAACAGCGGCGGTCGCCTGCGCCTGATAATAAAGAAGATCAATGGTCAGTACTTCATTTTGGGCAATTTGAAACATTGCTTTATCACAGCTGGAGGCGGCCATAGCCTTTGCGGCCTTTACCTCTTTGTTTTTCCGATCAATCGGCTTGCGAAGGCTGTTGACTCGGAGCAGGGCCTAAGTACAAAGAAAAACAGGCGTCAGTTTCCAATCATAAGGGTTAACAGGCGTCCTGGAACTTCAAAAGGGTATACCTCAGCTAGGATCCCCGAAATTCCATCGAGGTCAAGGGTGCCGGCACCCTTGACCGCCTCCCTGTCAGAGGGAGGAACTACTTTAACCATTGACTTGGCTACCTCAACCAAGTCAAGTCCCTGGGGGCCGGCTGCATTAAGCAGAAGGAAAGACAAGTTAGACCTAATCAAGAAGGAAGCAAGAGTGAGTTTTTACAAGCAAGTGTCCATACATCTAGGCGGCCCCGCCTGGGTTTTTGAAGAAGTGGCCGGCTGCTTCTCAGCCGCCACTGTTTTCCTGGAAGACCCAGGAGAGCTTGCAACAGTCGTTCTCCGGGCCTTGGGGTCCGGCTGTTGCGAGGAAGAAGCCCTTGGAGTGCCAGACTGAAAACAAAAAGAGTTAGTATATGCATAATACAACTTAAAGGGGAAGAGTTTTCAAAGCTTACCAAGGGTGCCTCCTTGCTGGGGGAGTCGGCGTACGACTGCTTCATTAGCGAAACCCGCAGCATGGCCGCCGCAGTCTTAGATGCTGTTATTTTACTCATGGCGTCGGCTGAAAGAAATAAACAGCAAAGTTAGTAAAAATCCCAAGTAAACAAGGCGTGAAAAAACAGAGTATTCGTCAGGCCGGCTACCTCTAGAGCACCGACTGCCGAGGCCACAGGCGGCCAAGAAGTACTCATCATAGAGCCACTTGAAGCTCGGGACGCAGTGTAGGGGTACTTGCTCTCGTACCCCTGAAGTAGAGTTCACCCTAGTCTCTACTTTGAAGAGTCCTTTGTCTAGGATCTCTCTTTTAGCCTTTGGGGGAACAGGCGGCATGCTGCGGCCGCCTGCAAGAAGAGGCGGATCCCTGTTCCACTTGTTAAAACGTTTGTTCAGCTCCGTGTCTGAACTCTCGATAATAAGGAAGGTGTTCCGCCAATCCTTCCATTTGTTTGCCTTACCTCTCGTCATGAGGTAACCCCTGTGGCTTGTTAGTTGATACCAGCCGGTACCTCCCGACTTAGGGGTCCGGCTGAGATAGTTCATGTGGGCGAAAGCCTCAAAACTTGGCTCCACCCCGTTCAGTTCGCACCCGGCCACATAGCCGAGTACGTTTACCCAAGAGTTGGGGGCTAACTGCCATAACCCCAGATCATACCCATCTAAAATCCGCTGAACAGCCGGATGTAATGGGAAGCGCAGACCAGCTTTGATGGCCGCCACATAGCAGCCAAAACAGCCGTCACCATAGCTGGTACCAGCCGGCCAGACGACAGTATCTTCTGGATCCGGCACAAACAGTAAATACTCCGGGCCCATTTTGTGGTTAGCAATAAAGCTCGCCACGTTGTCTCGCATGGTTGCGATCCGGCCCCGGGGCACCCTGCAGTAGTAGGGGTGTTTTCCTCTCTGTAAGAGGCGGACGGCTCTGCCCAATTATCCCCCTTCTCCACTGCATGGGAACTTCTCGCCTCTTGTAGGCGGTTATGTTTTTCTTCTGAGTCAGAAGAACTATGGTCAGAAGAACTATGGTCAGAAGAGCTGGAATCGGACTCGTCCCCTGACGAGTCCGAAGAGGACGACGCCTCCCCTCTCCTAGAGGGGCCCGCCTCCTCTCCCTTAGAAGGAGCAGAAGGTAAATTAGACATGTCCACGGTTAGATGAGAAGGGAACACCTTGGTCCCTCTCTCAGAACTGTCAGCTTGACAGTCGCCTCGTTCCACATCTGGCGCCTGGTCAGATGTTTCGCTAAGGAGTACCCTTTGGGAGGAGCCGTCTGAGTTTGATATTCTAGCAGTCTTTTTTGTTCTGGCCATCACGTTCTGCATAGACACAGATTCAGTCGGACTTTGTATAAAGGGCAAAGATGGGTCCAGAAAAGGGCAGGCGGCACTCCTAGTCCTAGATTCAGCTGTCCCCGGTGACCGGCTGATCACTAACTTAGGGCGTGTCGTGTGCTTCCATGGTGCCATTTCAAAAAATAGAAAGAAAATTAAGAGTAAGAGAACTGAGTTACCTGAACGGATGACAGTTGATGAAGTCCTGAAAGTTCGGGTCAGTCGGCTTGTCAGAACAGGCGGTAGGCAGAAAAAGTCCGAAAATGTCAGAGCAAGTTCAGGGGTCCGAATGTTCTCGCAAAAATTCTCAAATGTGAAAATGACCGAAGTCAGCACTTCCTTTTATAGGCAAAATGAGAAGGCGAAGGGTCGCTTCCGAATTCAAATTTGGGCGGAGAGTCTCCCGGCCGTCTGCAAGGTGACACCTGTAACGGGCCGTCGCCTGTCACCGTGCGACACCTGTCACAGGCGACACGTGACCAGTCGCGTGCCACCTGTGAGGGGCAAATGATTAGGGGATTTTTATCCACCAAGCGCCGTTTGACAAGTGGACCAACCAGGTTCCGCCACGCGTCCTCCACGGACCACTTAAGACACGCCACGTGTCCACCCATGCCAAATGGGACAACCGGCCATCAAGGCCCATTTCAGTCTAGAAGCCCGATCGGCCCTAGGTTTACCTTAAACCTAGAGAGTTGCACGCTTCCCAAGGCTATAAATACTCGATTAATCCTCATTAATCAAGGGACCGAATAATTAACGGAACGGAGGAGAAACATTACGGAACACACTAATAACCGGCTGATCTCGCTAGCAAAGCAGATTACCTACATTAAATACTCTCACCTAGAGAGACCTTATTACTTTAATTTCTGTATTAATTACTCCTTAATCAGGTACTAACTTGACCGTTGGAGGCGGAGCTCTCAGGAGTCTCCGTTATTTTGCAGGTACAGGCGTCCGGTTCCAGTCTCGGAATTGTAGCTCTCCCGCAGGACATCAGAAAACCCCAAAACACATTGCATACGAGCTCATTGTTGTCAAAGTTGTTTTCGCTAGGGTGATTCTTCCAGCCATCGAAATGTATTTCGACTTCCACCCTGCGAGTCTACGATTTATTTTCTCACATAAATATGTAAAGGTATTCCGAGTGAATCTACTTGTGAGGGTAGGCATGCCAAGGTACATACCTAAGTCGTCCGTTTCATCGATTCCCAAAGCATGGCAAATTTCTTGAATTTTTCCAATAGCCATATTTTGAGAAAAATAAACTTTTGATTTTGGATAGCTAATTTTCTGACCCGAGGCGCTACAAAATCTAGCAAGGCACTCTTGAATAACCACCGCTTGATCAATATTAGCTTCAGCAAATAAAATTATGTCATCAGCAAAACAAAGATTTGATAATTTTAGGCCGTTCCTACTTGCATAAATTGGCTTCCAACGATCCTCTATAATTGATTCCTCAATCAATTGATTGAGGCGTTCCATACATAAGACAAAGATGTATGGAGATAACGGATCGCCTTGTCTAATTCCTCTCTCCGGTTTGAAAGCTTGGGTGGGCTCACCATTCCATAAAACCTTCATCGAAGAGGTTGTAATACACTCCATTATGAGCTCAATCATTAATGGAGGAAAGTGGATCTCATATAAGGTATCCTTGATGAAATCCCATCTAAGGCGATCATAAGCCTTTTCAAAATCGATCTTGATTGCCATAAGTCCTTTCCCTCCTTTCTTTTGTTTCATAGTATGAATCACCTCTTGTACAATTACAATATTATCTGTAATTTGCCTTCCAGGAACAAAACAAGTTTGAGTGCATGAGGTTAGGTGAGGCATCATTAGCTCGATCCTATTAACAATTGCCTTTGTGATAATTTTATATGCCACGTTACAAAGACTGATAGGTCTGAATTGGGTGGCAAGTTCCGGGGAATCAACTTTCGGAATAAGAATTATAAAGGTATCATTCAAATTCTCCGGTAATCCCTTTCCATTCAAAGCATCTAAAGCAACCTTGTATACATTTTCAGCAACCAAATCCCAGTGTTTTTGAAAGAATAATGCTTGAAAACCATCCGGATCCGGAGCCTTCATTGCACCCATCTCGAAGACCACTTTTTCGATCTCACACCTAGCAAACTGTCTCGACAGAGTATCCCAGTCCCTCGAAGAGAAAGCTGGAAAAATGCCATTCGACATAGGCCCTAATAATTGTTGTTCATCCGCTGCAAATAAATTTTGAAAGTATGAGACTATATTCTGTTGAATCAAATCCTTTTCGTACAGCCATTCACCACTTTCAATATCCTTGATAGTTGTTATGTTGTTGTGCCAACGCCTTGTGATAGTGCTAAGGTGGAAAAACGATGTGTTTCTATCACCATCTCGTATCCATTCCACCCTTGACTTTTGATACCATAAGAGCTCTTCTTATTCAAGAACTTCATCAAGTTCCTTTCGAAGTTTAGCCTCTAACTTAATTAAATCCCTCGAACGTTGAGAAGCTAAACATTTTTGAACTCCCCCAATTCGAGCTAGAAGATTTCTTTTTTTCTTGAAAATATTATGAAACACATTTCTATTCCAATCTTGAAGCTCATCACTAACTTTCTTTAACAAAGGAAATAAAGGCCTCGATTTATCCCATTTAGTCTCGATGAATTCACGGAAGTTATCATGAGTTAGCCAAGCGGCTTGGAATTTAAAGGGTTTTTTAATTGAAGCTATAGGTGCAAACCCATTCGGAGAGATTAAAATCGGGCAGTGGTCCGATTGAACCGCAGGAAGGTCTTTTGTAGTGACGTTAGGAAAGCGGAGGCTCCAATCAGCATTACATAAAGCACTATCGAGGCGAGCACTGGTACGGGTCTCCAAGGAAGTCCCTCTTGCCCATGTATGGTTTGGGACACCAAACTCAATTTCCAGGAAATCCATATCTTCAACCCATTCGTTGAATTTAGCAGTTCGCCTTGTTGTTTCAGGACAACTAGAACTTCATTCATGAGCAAACCTAGTGTCATTAAAGTCCCCTGCAAGCATCCATGGCTTGTTATGGGTTGCAGCAAAATCTTTTAACTCACGCCATAAGTCACTCCTTTTTAGCGGGTCTGGACTCGCATAAATAGCAGTGAAGTACCACGGTTCTTCACCCAATCGACGAATATTCATTGTTATATATTGATCGTGTTTATGTATTGGTTCTACCGTAACAAAATCAGGTTTCCAAAAAACCCATATTCCACCACTAAAACGTTGGGCATCTACCCTTGTGTGACCCATGTATCCAATGATTTTTGAGATACGCTCAGCTTGCTGTCCCCCCATGTGAGTTTCAACTAGGGTTAAAACAGAAGGTTTGTGATTACGAACCACTTCTCTAAGAGCACTAATAAATGCTCGACTGCCCGCCCCTTGAACATTCCATACCATGCAAGATATATATTGGGAATTTGGAACTAAATTTGGGATAGTATCTTCCATTAATTGAGGAATAGAAGGTAAGGTACTTACATATGCATTCGATATGAGTCTCATCAGTCGAGTAATCTCATTGGGTATTGTCAAGGTTACTACCAATTCCATTGGCTTCGGAATTGGTTCCATCCAAGACTCCATTCTTACCTCCAATACATTCGTCAGGGGGTCGGCTATGCCCAAGTATGGAATCTCCATCGGTTGACCCACGCAAAGAATTTTGTCCGTCGGGATCCGTAGCAGTACTACATCCGATGGTGGGGGAAACATGGGTGAGCTCCTTTGGGGATGCATTTTGTGAAGCGTTATTTGGTTCTTCTGGGATAACTTCTTTGTTCTTCTGTGTCTCTTCCCTTTCAAGAGTTTCCCTCGTGTTTTCTTTTCCTAGTTTATTTTTGGTCACAAAAAATTGTGTAGCTTCTTTTAGATTCTCTAAATTTGTTATTGGAGTAAGAGGCCTAGGATTCTGGGATGCTGTTTTATTAGCTTTAGGAGTATCTTTTTTCTTGTAAATCTTTTTGCTCTCTAAACGCTTCTCTTGGGAATTATTTCCATAATTCAAGGGAAAAGAATTAGGATAAATTTCAGAATTTTTTTTTAGAATTATCTCCTAAGTTAATAGTAGGCATATTTACCTCACTATTAATATGGGAAGATATATCAGGATCTTTTGAAGACTCCCTTGATTCCAAATTTATAGCTCCTTGAAGAATATCTTTAGAAACAGAATCCTCTGAGGCAACTTTTACTCCTTCACCTTGACCCACAAGAATTTCAAAACTTGATTTTGTTACTGCAATACCCACCGTAACATTAGCTTGATATTTAGGTAAATTTTGACTTTGGTCTCTATTTTGGATTGGACCCTCTTTTCCATGATTCGGGTTGGATTTATCCATTTTTGGTTGTCGTTTTTGACCCGGTTATTTGACCAGCATCCAACCTCCATAGCTATCCACTTCTTCAGGTTTTGCAGGGGGTGCTTCTTTTTGGATATCCAAATCATTAATTTGATTATTAACTTGGTCAATAATAATACCATCAGAAGGACTTTTAAGGGCACATTAGTCTTCAACATGTCCTAGCCTTCCACATTTGTAACATAGCATTTTGATACCTTCATATTGTATCCTCCATATCCTCCCCTTAAGCCAAAATTTGGCTAACAAAGGTTTCGAGAGATCAATTTCAACACTAAGTCGGGTAAATTGCCCTCTTTCCGCGTAAGCTGTGGATTTATCAACTCGAATGACTCTTCCTATTTTAGCTCCAACTTTTTTCAAGAACTCCTTATCAAAGTATTCAATAGATAAGTTTAGAATTCTTACCCACGCAGTAAGCACATTTATGGATGCTTCCTCCGGTATGAAATTTGGAGTCCATTTACGGATAGTAAGGTACTTATCTTCGATTAACCAAGGCCCCTGGGTTAAGACGTAATTATAATCATCCACATTATTGAACTTGGCAATGAAGTACTTGCACCCTATATTTGTTAGGATTAATTCGCCTTTCAATTGCCATTTCCTTTTAAGTTGTTTCATAAGCCCCATATAACCAAGGCTGCCATCGAACATTCGAATGATTAGAGTATGTTTCCATGGTTTCCTCATAGCACGTTTTTCCTCTTTTGTAAGAAGAATTACAGGGCATCTCTCGCTATCTTCAATACCCTCCGGGATTTCATCATCATCAGAAACATCTTCCTCATCCTCAATCTCGATGTGAGTCTCCCTATGTGCAACCTCATCTAACCGGGTGTCTCTGATTAAATCTCTGAAGGATTTAGCAGTGGTTCCCAGATTTGGAGGAGGCAGAGGAGATTGCTGGGGTTCAACAATTGGCTTAGGTAATTGATAGATATTACCATCATTCTCCAGTTCCATAGGCACTCCTTCTTGAGATGCTTCAGAATCTCCTTCCTTATTAAAAAATAGTTGAGTAACCTTTCGTTTCGGTTTTTTATTCGAACGATGCAGTTGATCTACCATGTCAGTAGGGTTTGGAAGAAAAGGGTTATGGCTCATTGTAGAGAGAGAATTATTCCCCCGTAGGTTAGTTCAATGTTGATATAAATTAAATAATCAACTGGAAATTCAGAAGAGAAAAATATGGAGGGAAAACGCTTTACTAGGATTCGAACCCCTAACCAAGTGGAAGTTATAATAATAGATCTACCATTTGATTTGATATAGCTTGCTCAATTTATAACGTTATGTATATTTATGTGCACTCGGGTGAATACATAGAAAAATCTCTGATAACAGAGTCTTTGTATTGATGTAGATGGCATGACGACAAAACTAAGAAAATTAAAAATTTTAAATAAGAAAAAGAGGTCTTAAATAACGGGAAGGGTATATAAGAAACTAACGAGTTTGTCTAGTAGACTGAGGGCTGCCGCTAAACCTGTTCAATGGGTTAGGGGCCCATTTAAAGCCCTAGTCCAACCTTTTTATAAAAACCCCATCCAACATTTAAATGGGGAGGACTTTTAAAGGGCTATTAAATAATGGGCTTTAAATGGTTGGGTCTAAGTTAAAAAGGGCTGAAATTAGATAACACTTATAAGGTTTTTTTATCCTAAATTTTCTGTTTATTTCTAAAACTTTCTAACGTCAGTTTCAAAAAAAAAAATTCCTTTATAAATCCCCTATTTCCCCCAAATGATGAACCTAAAAAAATTCCCAAATTCTAAATCTTCAATTTATCACCTTCTTGCTTGCCGCTTTCAATCGTTGATTCCGTCATATTACTTCAATTACCAAGGTATGTTGTTCGATTTCGCTCAATTCTTCTCGATCAGTTTGTTTATTCAGTTTGTTTGTTCGATTTCGCACAATTATGCAATTTATCACCTTCTGCTCTATTTTCATTGTTAATGAGAAGATTAATGTAGTTTCCTATGCAATTTTCTCATTGAAATTGACTAATTTGATATATGATTGAGTCTTAAACTTTACCATTATAATATACAGATATATGCACTTATGCAGTTCTACTATGGATTGAATTTTTCTTCCATTGATTTGTTTTCTTACTTTGAGTTTTGGGTTCTCTGTTTCTGTAATTTTGCTGTTGTTTTGTAATTTTAGTGATTATTGTATATTTAGTAATTTGTCATATATCTATTACTATATTAGTCAATTACCACAACTCCATAAGATATTCGTAGCCATATCAAGAAATATATAGTGGGTTCTCTGTTTATGTAATCTTGTATTTTTAATCTCTTGATTGTTATGATTTCATTTGCTAAAAATACAAAATCAATCAAGTATATTATTTTTCATTCACATGATAAATACTTGGTATAATTCTATTGCTTTGTTGTTTGTAATCATAGTTTGTCAGCTTCATGAGATGTCCATGTGATTATCAATATATAGCACAAATTGCTTCTTTAATCTATACATTATACTCATTATACTTATTATATATTTCTGTAATTTTAGTAATGGCAGTGGGTTAATAATTATTATTTACCTACTTTTGCAGTTTTTTTAACCATGGAAAGTGAAGCAACTACAATGTCTATGCCGGTAGATGATGAGGTTGATGAATCTAATGCCGCCCGTAAGCGTAAAAGGAGTAGGAAATCTAAAGTTTGCCGAGAAATGACGGAAGGAAAGAATACAAAAGGTGAGAGAATCGCTATTTGTAAGCACTGTAAAGTGGAGTTAATTGCCCACAATAATAGTGGCACATCTCATTTAATACGTCATTTTCTTGATGTGTGTAAAAAACGAACTAGTGGACTTCCACTTGGGGAGGCGGTTGAGGATGAGGAAGAATTTGTTTTTGATATGAGTGAATTAAGAAAAGAGATTTTATTATATGTTGTTGAAGGCTCTCATTCTTTTTCGACCGTAGAAGAAAAAGGTTTTAGGCGGATGATGTTAAAGGCTAATTCTAAATTTAAACTATTTAGTCGAGCAACTTTAACGAGAGACCTTTTTTCTTTGTATGCCTCTTATAGAGAGAAAATAAAAAAAAAATTTGAGGAATGCACCCGGACGAATTTGTTTGACAACTGATAATTGAAAATCATCACACACTTGGTAACATTACATTTGCATAACCGCCCATTTTATTGATCATGATTGGAAACTTCATAAAAGGATTATTAAGTTCACATCATTGTCTCCCCCCTTTGATGGACAAAGCATCTCCGAAGAGATTTTTATTTTTCTTAATCAATGGCATTTAGATGATAAAGTGCTTAGCTTAACGGTTGACAATGCAAGTTACAATGATGTGATGGTTAAACACATGAAAAATAGTCTTGGGTCAAGGGGTATGTTGGTTAGTGGTGGTTGTTTTTTTCATATAAGATGTTGTGCTCATATCATCAATATTATTGTCCAATCCGGTCTATCGTGTATTGAGAACATATTAGATAAGATTAGAAACTTGGTAAAATATGTTACAAGATCATCTTCTAGAAGCAAGGACTTTTATGATACCGCTCAAAAGCATTTTCATTTAGACGCTAAGAGGAAACTTCGTATGGACATGCAAGTTCGTTGGAACTCTACATATATGATGCTTGATAATGTGCTTTACTATAAAGATGTGTTTATTCATTTGGGGTCATTTCATGCATCTTTCAAGAGTAATGTGCCTTTGGATGATGAATGGGAAAATTTGAGTGTTGTTCACAAGTTTTTGAAACTCTTTTATGATGTTACATGTATGTTCTCGGCCAATAAGTCTCCAACTTCTAACATGTATTTTAAGGGAGCATGTATGGTGCATCGTCGTTTACTTGAGACATCTAAAGGTCCACATGAATTTTTAGCACAAATGGTGTTACCTATGTTGGAAAAATTTGACAAATATTGGTCCGAGTATAACATATATCTAGCTTGTACGACAATTCTTGATCCAAGGTTTAAGTTAAAGTTTGTGGAGTATTGTTTTGACAAGATATATGGTTTGGATGAGGCTATGTGAAAAGTTGAAAAAGTGTTGAACAATTTAAGATCTTTGTATAATGAGTATAAGTCAACATTTTCAACTTCCCCAATTGTTGCTCCCTCTACTACAAGTAGTAGGATCGAAGATGAAAACTTCTTTGATGATTATCAAAGCTATAGTTCAAGAATTACAAGGACTCAAACAAAAAAGTCCCAACTTGAGTCATATTTGGAGGAATCGGAGCTTGATTTGAACATGGAGCTAGATATTTTAGAGTATTGGCAAAAAATGCCGTGATATTTCCGGAGCTTGCAATGTTGGCACGAGATCTTCTAACAATTCTGGTTAGTACGGTGGCTTCCGAGTCGGCTTTTAGTGTTGGGGAGATAACTATATCTCCTAATCGTAGCTCATTGAAACCCTCAACGGTTCAAGCCCTAGTTTGTGTTCAAGATTGGCGTCGTGATGAATATAACATCCCTTCAAATTTGGATTGTGATTCTAGCTCGGATGATGATGAGGCCGTTGATGATGGAGATGATGATGATGAGGTTGATGATATTTTCCTATACTAGGTAATTGTTTTTATTTTGTTTTTTATTGCTTTTATAAAAGGGCTGGACTAGGGCTGCATTTCTGTGGTCTTTTGACTTGAACGAACCATGGTTGTTAAATTTATTCTTTTGTTTCAGTTGATTTCCTGAGCTTGTTACCTTATTGGCTCGCTTTGTTGGTGAACTGTCACCTGTGAGATCAACTGTTACTAAAGCAAGGCCCTTTAAAGGCCCTTTTATAATAAAAAGCAGTGTAGTTAAAAAAAAATACAATGCAGAGGAATGATTTGCATAATTAAAATTATCTGGGCTGCTGAACTTGGAAAACTCAACACATTGTTGGTTGTTGCCTTGTCTTGTAGGAAACCTGCTGTAATCATGATAGTTGTTTAATGGAGGCGGAAAAACAACTTCTCTTGGTAAGTGCATAACATGATTCTTCCGATTTGCTTTTAATCATGTTATAACTATTACGGAGTATCTTATATCCTATCTTTCTTTGAAGGGAAGTTGGCTCATAGATTGAAGAAAGAAGGAGCTAAGGTTAATTTGGATTCTTTCCCTCGAGCTTTGCCTTAGTGCTTAAACTGTGATTTTTTTTTCGTTTCTTTTGTGTGAGTAGCCTGTTTTTCTATGGGAGTTACTAAATAGTGAGAAATACTCATTCATACTTTATAAAAGACCTGAGTAGTGCAAATCCCGATGAATAATCTACAGTACAAAATTCTTAGAAATTTTTTTATTAACATCATAAGAGGGATATTTTTCAGCTATGGAAGGGGCATTAACAGTGCTAAATCTATAATTGCTTGACCTCATGTTATCTATTGTTCCATATACTATTGGCAGCAGGTGATACATTTCGAGCTGCTGCAAGCGATCAGCTTGAGATCTGGGCTGAGCGAACAGATTGTGAAATTGTAGTGGCAGAGAAAGAGAAGGCAAAAGCATCGTCAGATGAGACTTCAAAACTTAAACGTTTTAGTATAACAATAGGATTCCTGTGTTAGGCCTCTTGGATGATGACAGATGACAGTGCAAACTGACCTTAAGATTGTGCTTTCTGAATAGTTCTTACTCAGGCTGTTTAAAGAGGAAAGGAAGACAAATTTGATATTGTTCTATGTGATACATCTGGCCGTAAGCGCTCTGCATCTCTGAAAACATCTGCTGTAAACTTTTTTTTTTTTTGGGTGGTTTTGTTTTAAGCAACTTCATTTCCTTAGGTCTTCATACGAATTACAGTCTCATGGAGGAGTTGATAGCCTGTAAAAAAGCTGTGGGTAAAGTAGTTTCCGGTGCTCCTAATGTAAGAAGCTTAATAACTTCCATATCATTAAAGTTGCTATTTAATTTAACAGAAATGGTTGTCTTGTTGCAAGGCGCTTTTATAAGGCCCCTTAAAGTCCCTTTATAATTCTCTTATATTGTGTCTACTTTATGGTTGTTTTGGATTGTTTATACATTTTAAATGGGCCGGGCCGGTCTTAATGGCCCATGGACAATATCGGCCCATTTTGGATTAGGCTTGGCCCTGTCCGGCCCGACCCATTCCAGATAAAGCCCTGCCCGGCCCGACCCGTTGAACAGGTTTAGCTGCTGCCAGCAAGCTCACGAGCTGAGGCTTCATAAAAACTAATAAAAGTTGTGGCGAAAAGGATGACAATAAGAAAAAAATTTGTGTTTGTCATGTTTTGTAAGCTCGGATTAATCTTATTTTTGGATGGAATATGATAGACTGCAGGAGTTGTACATGTATTTATAGACGATTGTACTAGGTAACAGGACCACGAAGAACCCTTAATATTTATAAAAGTATTCCCTCATTTCATATTAATGAATAGAAAAATATATTTTAATAATCCCAAAATATTGCCGATTTACTTTTAATAATAATCCCAACTAAGATTTATTTTTTATTAATCCTAACTATGCCCTGAGTTTTCCTTCAACAATCCCAATTCATCAACATAAAGTCAACCACCTTCTCCACCGCAAAACCCTAACCGACTACCTAACCTCGCTAGCGGAAACTCGTCGCCCACCCTTTACCCATCGGACATCACTGACGTGACCTCAACAACCATAAGTGACCCAATCCTCGACCCCTGAAGCCACCTACCCAGCCACCCCAATGGACTTTCATTGGCCTTGATAGTGATTTTTGGAACTAGGTTGGCTAGGAAGGTGGTTTCGGGGGTCGAGGATAGGTCACATTAGGAATTGGGTTGGCTAGGAGGCTAGTTTCGATGGTTGGTGGCCTAGGGACGTGCGACCAATTTCCGACGAGTTTAGGTGGGTTTTGCGGTGTGGGGTTAGGGTTAGGGTTTTGCGGTGGTTAGTGAGGAAGGTGGCTGGTGGTTTAGGAGGGCTTGTCGGCCATTTTCGGGGTGGGGGAAGGTGGCTGGATGGTTTAGGGGGTTTGCCGGCCGATTTCCCGGTAGGCTAGGGGTTTAGTTGGTGGTTTCCGGTGGGTTTGGGGTGGCGATGGTTTTTCTTTCATTTTTTCTTTTCAATTTTTTTTTTTAATACTAGACCAATCATGTGCTGACATGTGACATTTTTTTTTAAAAAAAATTTATCCTTTAAGTAGGTAACCGGTTTTTGGGACTGATTGAGGCAAACTCAAGGCATAGTTAGGATTATTAATGAATAAACCTTAGTTGGGATTATTAGAATTAAATTGACAATATTTGTGATTATCAAAGTGTATTTTTCCTAGGGGTGTCCATTATTCTAATAATAATCGAAATCCAATCCAATCCGAACCGAATTATCAATTCGGATCGGATTCAAACTTTGAATCGGATCGGATCAGATTAAATGTTTTTGAAAATTCAATTTTTCGGATCGGATTGACCTTGTTCGGATCCGAAAAAACCGAAATAACCAAATTATGAAAGCGTTATTTTACAAAACAATATTGTTAATATTAATCGTGTTAAACTATGTCTATGATTATAAAATAATTAATCATGTAAACCTATGTTTTCAATACTTGTATAAATCATGTACTACTATACTTTCAAGAAAAATTATTATTGCAATTTTATTTTTATAATCGCATTAGTCCCAAAAAAAATTAACAACGAATTTTAATTCGGATTCGCGGATTGGATCCAAATAACCGAATTATAATTCGGATTGGATCGGATTGGATTTAGTAAGTAATTCAGATCGAATTGGATTTGAAAACTAAAACCAAAATTTATTTCGGATCGGATTGGATTTGGCCTTAATCTAAACCGAAAACGAATGGACACCCCTAATTTTTCGTAATGAATATTATTGGTCAAAAGTAATACAATACTAGGTGAACTGGCAAAATCTGACACGACATAAACTAGACACGAAAAATTGGGTTAGCTAGTGTCAACTAACGAGGATTTTTGGCTCGTTTTATTAAACATGTCAACATGACGATGAATTAAATTGGGCAGTTAGTAGAATTCCAACACGATGTTTATGTGATGTACCCAAAACCAGGGGCGAAGCCAGGATTCTCAAGTCCTGGGGGCTGGACTTGTTAAACAACAGATTGATGGAAAAAATTAAAATGTACTAGTATTTAATTGTTACAAAAAATAAAATAAAATAAAAACAACTAATCACAATCATGTAAATAACAATAAGAAATTTATTAATTAAATGAAATTACATAATTTTTTTTTTAAAAAAGAAGAATTTTTTAAAATACCTGTTTTGTTTAATTTGCTTTTAATGTTTGAAAGCAGTGCCAAGTAGGGGTGGGATCCGAACCCAGGTTTCTTGGGAAAAAGAGTCATTATCTAACCAATATGACAAGCTTCATTTGTTGTATTGATTGTGCCTTCATTACTATAAATAATATATTTTAGGGGGGCCTTCGCCCTTGCCCAAAACATATATACTCCGTATTATTTATTTTGTAGAAACTACGTCGTGGGGCACCTCAATATGACACAACATTGTTTATTAAATGGGTTGGGGTTGAGATCCTCTAACTCGTTTAACTTGAACACAGAGAATGACATGACACGTTTTCCAGTTCTAGTAATAATTAAGTATGTAGTCCCTGTTTTCCAGTTCTAGTAATAATTAAGTATGTAGTCCCTCCCAGCCGTTTTTAAATACTTGCTCCACTTTTTATTAGCGCCCGTTTTTAAATACTTGCTCCATTTCCTTATTTGGAAAGCATTTACAATAATTAATTAATTTCTCTCACCTAGTGGACCCAACATATATATTCTCTTTCCTCCAATTCTCTCCACTACTTTTGCTTTCTACAATTTTTTATTCTTCCACCAACCCCACTATCTCCATATTTTATTACTTTATCCAATTTCTCCTAAAACTCCGCGCATGGAGAAATGGAACAATTATTTAAAAACGGAGGGAGTATAAATTATATATATACAAATAGATCATATGTTTAATTTGACAGCTTGTAGGTTGTGGAAGATGGAGGGAGTGCAAACTAGCTTTAAATATGATCAAGAAAGAATGGACAAATTATCATGTGATTCATGTCTATGTATGAATTGGGTCAAGGGATAAATTAAATAAAACTCGATTGTTTTGGTTCGAATCTGAAGATGGTCCAATTAACAATTTAACACAAACCCGATCCAAACATATTAGGCCCGACTTTTATCACTTATCTAATCCCTTTTATCTGACCTAATAAATTTGATTTAATCTAGATTATCTTGACTCGTAATTAGCTTACAGAAACAGACTTAAGGTCTAATACAATACACCTAATCGGTGTGTCAAAATAGGTAAAAAAAAAATGAGACGCCTAATCTAATGCGGACACCAACCGACCTTTGTGCAACATCACATCGCAATAGTGGCCAATGTGGTATGTACGCTGGTCTTTTTTTCTTTTTTTTTTTGGTGTAAATACGCTGGTCTTTTCAGGTATAGAGAGGACCTGCTTCATCGATTTTAAGACACTATAAAAATATCAAATTCTAAATCGTTTAAACCGGTAATTTTATACTAATCCACCAAAAAATTCATTTTAAGTTGTTCGAGGTCAATTCATCATGAGCCCTATTAGGTCATCCAATCCATCAAACTTAAGCCTTAATATACAAGGAAAAAATGGAAACTAAAAATTCAACCTTTGCGCGGTCTGACAATAAAAATCCAACCTTTCATTAATTTCAAAAAAATCCAAGCTTTATACCTCACCTTTTTTGACAGGTCCATTTGACCTTTAACCTGTTAAACCGGTTAAAAAGTTTTGTTTTATATTTTTGTTTTTTGTTTTTAATTTCCTTCTCACTCTTCTTCTTTCTCTCTCCTCTCTACACCACCATGGCACCACCACCTCTGCCACCACTTACCCCACCCAACCCAAACCCAGATTCGAAACCCTCTTCCTCCTCCTCCACTATCTCTCCTCCCAAACCAACGGCCAACCACACAGCCTCACGCAATCCTCCCAAACGACGCAGTCCCCCGAGGCCCTGATCGAAAACCTCCTTGTTTCAAATCACGCAGCCTTACGGGTAGGCATCTGGGTTCGTGGGGTAGGCGTCTGGGTTCGTGGGGTAGGCGTTTGGGTTGGTGGAGGTCAGGGCTTGCGTTTGGGGTTGGTTTAGGCTCGCCGTCGATTGGGGTTTGTCAGATCGCATAGGTCGGGTTGGTTTGGGAGGGTCGAATAGGGTGTTTGGTGTGGTGGTTATATATGTTAGGGTTTAGATTCGTAGGGGGTTTTGGTGGTTGGGGAGGTTGCGGCAAGGGGTGGGGGGTGGGGGGTGGGGGGAGATCGCCGGAAGCCAACGACCCTGATGGTGGGGCAGGTTGGGGTGGGGGAAGTTGTTGGGGAGTGGGGGAGGTGGCTGGGGTGTTGCGGGGGCTGGGGGAGGTGGCTGGTGGTGGGTTTTTTTCTGTTTTATTTTTTCTTTTAATTTTTTTTGTTTTTTAATGATTTAAAAAATAATTGACCAATTAATGACTGACACGTAGCACATAACTTACAAAAATCGGTCATCAACAGGTAATGGATCTGTCAAAGAAGATGGAGTATAAAGGTTGGATTTTTTTTAGATTAATGAAAGGTTAGATTTTTTTTTGTCTGACCATGCAAAGGTTGAATTTTTAGTTTCTATTTTTCCAATATACAATTGTTATTAGTCCTAGACATTTCGAGGTTAATTAAGCTGAGGTTCAAATCATACAATAATGATAAAATGTACTTCCTCTATTTTTTAGTTGTACCATTATGTGATTTCACGCTTGTCAATGTATTGCTTTTTCCATCTTCATCTTTTATTTTGATTGATTAAAAGTTATAGAAGTTTCTTTTAAAAAAAAGTTATAAAAGTAATATTTGAAAGTTGATTTTAAGATAAAGCTAAATAAATCCCACATGATTATGTTTTTCTTAAGTACAAATCACAACAGATACTTAATTAAAGGATATTGGTTGTGTTTGCATTTGGTCCTACGACCAACCACCGGTGACTGTGACTTACTAGCAAATAAATATCTTGGTTCCACAAGACATAATCCTATGGATTTTGTCTTAGGTTAATGAAATGTCCAAATAATTTTGCAAATCATCAAATTTACATACCAGCTAGCTTGATGGCACGAATGAAACCAATCTCGATTCTACTTCAGATGACTAACGGAGTTCTATCTCAAAATCATATGGTTGTAGCTAAGAGGATTTTTCCCTTAATCATAACGTGTTTAATTCTCTCTCTCTCTCTCTCTCTCTCTCTCTCTCTCTCTTTCTTTTTTTTTTTCAATGCGGAACTATACACTCACATGTACTGTTATAGCAGATTATGGCTCAGCACTCCCCCTCAATATGAGCTTTCTTTTTAATTCGGTCACATGTGACGTTTTATGGGGCCGAGTGTTTTCAATATACCTTGATGGCATTGAGTGTGCATTGTTGTAGATAGATGAGAGGTTAGTACTATAAATATGGAAACGTATAATCTAGGTCACTTGGTATAAATTCTATCAACTAGATAGGTTGCATTCACGATGTTTAAAGATAAGAGAAATCAGAAAATTGTTGTCAGGGACAATTAATAATCCATCCAAGAGATACTATATCAATATAAATTTTTTGTGTAAAAAGAACACTAAAACGCAAATAGTGTAGAAAGATTTGATTTTAAATCAATCAATTTAGTTGACATCAACTATTATTAGACATTGATTTAACCGAACATTGAGGGCTTGTCCGGCTTGATATATACTACGGAGTACCTCCTTTTGGTTTACAATGCATGTTTATTGAGATAGGTAAACTATTAAATTACTTAATTGAGGTTTAGCGGGTAATTTTAGTCCTTATTGTTCAAATTTAAGGTCGAAGATAGAAAAAAAAAGGAGAAAAAAAATGCTTCAATTGAATTCCATCCAATCACACATACCAAGAAATTTACTCGCTCATTATTTTTTTTAAGACTACCAGCTCATAATTAAATTGGGGCGTTTCTACTAATTTAATGCCAATTTCAACCCCAAATTTGATCCAAATCCAAATTGACCAAAATTACCCCCCAAAAATATAATCGAGCAATTTTTTTTAGCTCGAAACAAACATCAAATCGTGGAAATTGCTCGCACGCAAACTGAGGGGTTTTTGATCTTTAGTCTCAAATTTGATCTTGAAGGGCCAAAATGAATCATAAAAACCATAACCTAACAATTTTTGCAACTTAGATATAAAGCATGCATACCAAGGCAATATTGCATGCAAACCGATGCGTTAAATATAAAATTATTAATTTAATAGATATTGAACGGAATATTCTCTAAGATTCCCGATCCATGGACCGGCGTATTAATTGCCCAAATAGTTAAATAGGAGGTGATGTTGAGAGCAAATACCTTAGGTTATACTTGTATTATTATGCACACAAACAACAGTTGAGATAATTTAGAGTTAATTTTTCATTTTAAAATTATTAATATATACTAATAAAATTTACATTATGGTGATTCAAACCAGATACCACATGACTATTCGTAACTATAAATCATCATAAAATCTAGTCAAAGTGTAATTTATACTACTACGTAGTATAAATAATACAAACGTCAAAGTTGTCAACTTAAATAAATAAAACAGAGGAAGTATGCTATATTCACCAACTTAGCAAGTACATATAATATATAACCTGGAAATTTAGACTAATCCCTTCGACACTGATACAAAAAAAGCTTTAAAGAGTACGAGTACGAGTACTGAATAATTGAGAAACATTACATATTACAGGTCTATTTTAAGATCATATAATAACTTGGGACGAACACTGCACCAACTCAATTAACTCATGAGAATAATCGACCAAACCATAACTTTTGTTCACTCCCAAAGTCCCAATCTATTTATGTCATATTGGTACACACAAATATATATGAGTACTTATTTTGTTATGCTCTCCCTTTCAAAGATTTCATGCACAACGTATCATTTAGTTAAGCTTTTCCTCAACAACCTTAGCCATCTTTTGTCTTGAGGGTGGGTTTGGGTTACCATAACCTCCTCCTGGATTACCATAACTTCCTCCTGGATTACCATAACCTCCTCCTGGATTACCATAACCATACTGCTTTGACTCTTCCACGGACTCTGCAAAAATCGAAATGAACATACAAACTCACGATCTATATATAACCTTCAGAACAATATTACTACAAGATATATTTATTTGTACATAAACCATGAATATTGTTACTTAAATTAGTCATGTTATGCTGTTAAATATAAAAAAAAAAATACTACCTCTTTTCCAACTCACTTACTACTCATGCAGTCAAAATAAAATAACTTCGACCGCGATCTATGATGTATATATACAAATAATACAATAGAAAGAAATTAGCATGTGAGATCTTATTAGATTCCTGTAATTATAAAATTTTCAAATATCAACTTTTTATAATTTTCACCTATACACAACGGAATATATTCATAGTCAAAGATGTTCATTGGAAACCGCGCAAATTAAAAGTAGGTTAAACTTTCAAGAATGGAGGTAGTATATATATATTATGAGCAAAATTTTATTCTATGTTACACCTTCATCTGTGTACTGTGTATCCACGGTGTATAAATAAGTCTCTGATAACCAAATCTTTGTATTTGCAGCATTTTTTATTCAAAGATAAATATTGGATAACTAAAAAAAAAATATTGATGATATTCTTTTTATACAAAACATAATAATAATAAAAAGGAAATTTTGCAAAAAAACCACCTTTTATAAGCTATTTTTTGCAAGAAACCACCTTATAATTTTTTTTTTGCAATGACACACCTTAATCAAATTTTTTTTTTTTGCAAATCAATACCTTTATGTCGGAACGAAAATGAGGTTTGACCCCATTTTCCGGCATTGACTACCCCAATCTACCCACGAAACCACCTCTCTCCCTAGCCCCACCCACAAACCACCTCCTTCCCAACCTCCACCCACAAAACCACCCTTTCATGGCGTTGACCACCATAAACACACCCCCTCTTATGGAAAAACACCCCCTTTTACGGCGTTGTCCACCCTAAACACACCCCTAGCTTTAACGACGTTGACCACCCTAAACCCTTCTCTATAGCCCTAGCCACCCTTCTCCCCTCCACTCTCAGTTTCATGGGTGCGGATGGCGTAGTCAACGCCGGGAAATAGGGTTTGACTCTATTTTTCGGCATAAAGGTATGGTTTTGCAAAAAAAAATTTGATTAAGGTGTGTCTTTGCAAAAAAAAAAAAAAAAGTTATAAGGTGGTTTCTTGCAAAAAAAAATGCTTATAAAAGGTTTTTTTTGCAAAATTTCCTAATAAAAAAAATATATTTTATAATTTGAGAAAAATAAGTCAATTATCAAATATATAATCATTAAAACATTGTGGTAGTCACATTTCAAAGTTTAAACGATCAATATAAAATTTTCAATACAGAGCATGACAACAAAACTAACTCAATAAAATTCAAGAAAAAGAGGTCATAAATAATGGGAAGAATGTATAAGAAACTAACGAGTTTGTCTAGTCGACTGAGGGTCAGCAAGCTCACGAGCTGAGACCCCATAGGAACTGATAAGAATTGCAGCGAAGAGGATGACAATAAGAAAAACTTTTGTGTTTGACATATTTTTTAGGCTCCAATTAATACTCCGTATTATTTTAGGATGGGATATGAAAGAGTGTCAGGAGTAGTACATGTATATATAGACGGTTGTACTAGGTACCCGGACCACGAAGAACCCTAAAAGACTTATAACAATATTCCCTCATTTTGTATTATTGAAAATTATTGGTAAAGAGTAATACAAAACTAAGTAGAGCTGACAAAAGTTAACACGACACAAACCGAACATGAAAAATTGGGTTAGTGTTAAGAATTTATGATTCGAATTAAACAGGTCAACAAGACACGACACGTGTAATTAAATAAGCCGGATTAGAGTTAGATTTCCAACATGAAATTAACACGTACGAATCAACCCGCTTACGAAAAACAATATAAATTTTTTACGGATTTTATGATATATATTTTGTTTGGGGCTAACATTTTTTACTTGCAACATGACAACACGACACGAATGGGATAAGATAGTGTAAAAAAAAGTGGGTTAGTGTCAAGCATTTCTGAAAAGATTAGTTAAATGGGACAACATGACACATCACGTTTATTAAACGGGTTAAGAAAGTGTTCAGATCCTCTAACTCGTTTAACTTCGAAGATAAACATGAGAATGATACAACCCAACATGGTTAGTACAAAGTATGTACAAATTTTTTATATACAAATTGATCATATGTCAATTTGGCAGCTTGTAGAAGATTGGGGGAGTGCAAAATAGATTTAAATATGATTAAAAAAGAATTACAAATTTTCATGTGATTTATTTGTATGTATTATTGGTAGACCTCGCAAATGGGTCATTCGGGTCGGGTATGGGTCAGGTCATTTCAGGTCGGGTCAAGTTCGGGTCAAAAGGTTATCGAGTCAAGTTCGGGTCGGGTCATTTCGGGTTTCGGGTCGACTGATAATCGGGTCGCGTCGGGTATCGGGTCAACACTTCGGGTCGAGTTCGGGTCAGGTCAATTTCGGGTTAACTTCGGGTCGGGTCAACTTCGAGTCGAGTCATATTCGGGTGATTCATTGGGTTAAATTCAACTCTGTATATATATATATATGTTTATTTATTTATTGACGAAAAACTCGCTATATTTTGTAAGGCTATTTTTTTCATGGAATATAGTAATTGTTTGACTTATATTAACCCTTTTTTTTTTAGATTGAAAATCACTTTCAGGATCTCCTGAAAATAAAAGGGATGCTCTAACTAATTGAGTTATACCTCACTCTCTTATTGATCTTAGTTTTAATACGTACTCTTATTATCATTGTCATTGTTGTAATAATTTCTTTGAATTATTCTTATACTCTCTCCGTCCCAAATTACTCTTAGCGATTTGACATTTTGCACTATTTACACATCTCACTTTGACCGTCTTTTTAGCTATTATATGAAAGTCAATGTAGTCATGTAAGATGTTGTTGGGTCTATTTTAATGTATAACTTCCTAATATAAACTTTTTATAACTTATACAATTATTTACTAAAAGAAGTTAAAGGTCGGGTAATTTTTGGGTCGGGTCAACTTCGGGTCTCGGGTCAACTTCAAGTCTGGTCGTTTCGGGTCTCGGGTCAACTTCGGATCGGGTCATCTCGGGTCAGGTCGTTTCGGGTTGGGTCATTTCGGGTTTTGGGTCAAGGTCGGGTCAGTTCCACTTCGGGTCGGGTATGGGTCGGATCGGGTTAATTCAGGTTTTGGGTCAATTTCGGGTCACTAATTTCAGGTCGATTTCGGGTGATGGGTCGGGTCATTTGGGTCGGGTCCTTGGGGCTGGGTCAAGATTGCCAGGTCTAATTATTGGGTCAAGGGAGTACAAACCCTACAAACACATACTGTAGACACATAATTATATATGTCTCCTAAAAAATACCCGATAATAGATAAAATAAAACTCGTTCACTTTGGTTCGAATTAGAAGATGGACCAACCAACTCAAACTTAATTGATTAGCGAGAGAATACAAACAAACATTAACTCCTGATTAAGTATGTATTATCATCCCCGAACCCTAAGTAGTTCAAGACCATAAGTGTGTCAATGATCTCATGATCGACTTGTTGAACGATTTAAGTTGATTGGGTTATTGTGTTCATTTCGTGATAACATTTGGATTGTCCAATCCCTTATTCGTGAATGAACATATAAAGTTGTATTTGTAATTTTTTGCAAATTGCATTTATCCCTTTCATTGCATTATTCCTTCATTCGACCCCCAACTTGCAAAGATCAATAAGTAGGAGCTCAAGCTCATATCAATCCATCATTCCGTACACATCAACCTTAGTGATATTGTTAAAATGCACATTCAACTAACCTTGACGATATTTATTTAAGATTTATTGTTTCTGGTTTTGTCATTTTTGTGGGGATGCTTGTCAACTGGTTTGAAAATGACCTATATTTAGTATGGAAATAAAAAACACAAAATTAATAACAAGTGTAACATATACCAACTAAATCAATCATTTAGTGCAAATTATTAATTGTCCGACGATTATTTAAAGGACACAAGTACCCCGTAACAAAGGGCAAAAGAGAAATACCAAGATGGAAAGGGATTTATGTAATTCAATATAGTTTGCTAGAATCTATCTATACTATTGTGAACTCAAATTTTAAATCTGTAAAATATAGATTTAAAACAAATGCAACAAAGTGTTAATATTATTAATTTGATAATTTTGGGTACAATCTCTAATTTGATCCTCTAATTTGATCTCCACTATGACTTTGATGTAATTCACGAATTGACTTGATTATCGAACGAGGGTCGTCGAGTGAAATTTTTTCTTTGGAGGCGGATGCACCATGCTTGGTGCATCCAGTGTTCTTTAAAAAAAGGCGGAATGAACATTTAGCTATTCAGTAAAGAACGTATAATTGTTTTGTAAAGAACATATATCTATTTTATAAAAAACATCCAGTTTTATATGTTTTTTTGTAAATCTAAAGATCATTTGTAATATTAGTAAAGAACATGATAATATTAAAGAACATTATTCATATAGTAAATGTACATTTGGTATAAATGATCATGTATGTATATGAAAATGTACATTTTACTGTATTATAATGTATATTGTATTATATTCTAATGAACATATATGTTATAATGTTGGTTACATATATGTACATTGTATTATTTGCATCATATAAGTATATGAAAAAATAACATTTTACTGTATTTTAATGTACATTGTATTATTTGGATCTAAATTTTTTTCTAAATTTGTCTATTTGCTTGCTTTCTTCTTCCAAAATATATTAATTGGTTGATCTTCTTCAAGAATTTAATTTTATTTCTCATTGCAACAACAAAATTATATCAAAATCGCAATTAATTTTCAATAAAATCAAATATTAAAATTTTCAATTAAATTTATAAAAAACAAACACTCAAACTCAAAATAAACAAGTATGAATGTCAAATAAACAAGTATAAATGTCGAATTTGGTCTTACCTTTCGTTTTTATTTGTCATCTTGAACAATTTTGAGCTCAAAATTTCGAATTTCTTGAAATTTTGTTTGAGGAATTTAAATGGGTTTGAAGTTTTGTTTGGATAGAGAAAGTGAACTTTTGGTAAAAAAAATTGAAATGATTTGTAATTAATGTATGGTAAAAAAAATTAATTATAGTACTATTTATCTATTTCATTATACAAAATTTCTTTTTTTAAAAAATATATATACAAAATTGTTGCATAAAAAACTGATGTACATTACAAATGAACACTATGTTCTTTTATGTATATGTCCATGTACATTATAAATGACTACTATGTTCTTTTATACGACCATGTTCATTAGTATATATCTGAATGTTCATTCCGGCTTTTTGTATTTTGGAGCGGATGCACCATGTGGATCGTGCATCCGCCTCCACGAACCAATTATTAGTCGTCGAGGCTTGATCCCGAACTTTGACTTATTGTTGATGTAGACTTTTGAGTTGTTGTTGATATAGATCTTTGATGACTTGAATTCTTGATTCGAGGGCCGACGAGGCTTGATCTCGATCAATGACTATTTGATGTAGAGGTTGAACTTGTGTTCTTAATGATTTGAATTCCTTATTTCCTTCGTGTTGAGGGCTTTCGAGGCTTGATCTCTTCCACGGGTGATAGAGTAGAACAACACGTTGAATGGTTGTTTCTCTTCTTCTAGGTTATGTTTTCTTTAGAAAGCATTGGTGTATTTGATGAGAGGTTTTTCTCTAGAGAGGTTTAGAGTATATGAGAAGCTTTCTCTGTATTTTGATTCTCCGATCCTTTTTTTCTCTAGGTTTTCTTCTCCTCCCAAATGATGTAGTGAGTGTTTTATTTATAAAGTGAGGACATCCTAGGGTTAGGGTTTGATGTACATTGGATGTTGGGCTTGACAATAATATAAAAATAATTCAAATGGGCTAATTTAAGTTATTCCACCCAAAATAATTAATTCCAATTAAAAGTCAAATAAACATGAGTCAATACTTGACTTTTGACTGTATCCAATGCTATGTGGCACTTATATAAAATTTACGTGCCTACGACTATATATTTAAAGGCCGTTTCGAATCAAGTCGATATGCACGTGACACTCTTCCTTAACTTTCTTCCATGTTATTACACACTAATTAAAAAATTAGAATCATAATTTATATAAAGATTCAAACCCTTGACCTTAAGGTTAATTAATAAGATCTTAACCATTGAACTAAGTCATAATTTGTGTTATTAATAACAAAAAAAAAATAACTATTGTATAAAACATCATATCATATAACTAATATATAAAGCTAAACTTTTAGTCAGGCCACGAAACAGCGACACTTAGCGTCCCAACTTTTCGCCAAGTGCCACCCCACATTGGCGATGTATAAAAATTATTTTGGCACATATGATTATTTGTTTAATAAAAAATTGGATAGATCTAGATAGACTTTCTAAGATAAAAAAAAAGTTAGTTTAAAAATTCTATTCTAATAAAATTTGGATAGAATTTTAGGATAAAATTGTTAGTGTAGAGTTTATTTTCAATAAAATATTAATATATGTACAAATTAAATTATAATTTTATTCAAAA